ATCGTGTAATTTCATTTATCCATGGAAATATTACGCAAATCGCAGCGGTCTGTAGCTTAGATGGGCTTGGCTTAAAATGCATGCAATCCTGACAAATAATTTTGATAATATACTCGTATTACCGAGAAAAGCTCCGTAGTCCTGATCCTAAGGCGATTACTTTCAGCCTTAACATATTTTCCTTGAGTAATTTCTATCTGCTTGATTATGAATGAAAGCCCGTACTTTTTAGTACTTGCGGCCTATATACTCAGACTTAAAGTGTACAGTATTGGGCGCAGCGGCATTTTCCGCAAATTTTTTGGAAATCAATCTGATCTCAATTCGCTTAAATATGGTTATCCGTGCGCATGAAGTTTGAAAGCATTCCTTATCTGCGAAAATTTCCCATTCCCTTCAGGAGCACCCTGTGAATTTCAGTAAAACAGTACTTATTCTGGATGATGGACATTGCGATCAATTTCATCGTAAAATTATGCTGAAATGTTCAGGCAAAGGATTCGCTGTCTTGTGTCAATATAAATGGTGAAAGGAGCTCGAGAAGAATACAAATATCGAAAATTGTCAGCTGCAACAGAGCTGAAACGCAGAACCGGAACCTGTGTTTGAATTTTTCCAAAGTCCTGTGATGAAAAAAAATTTAAATAAAAAAAAAGCTTGAAGAGAAAATATGTATCTTGTCGTCCTCGGCAAATTCTTGGGCCGTACGGAACCCCGTTACGCTTCTGCACTCGGAGGAACTCGTTTGCTTTCCAACGGAAGTTTCCCTCCGCTTTTTTCCCCCTCTTTTCAATCAGCTTCGTTGCTCGGGAGCCGGAAGTGTCACAATTTTTTTGTTGATTATGTCATAAAAAAAAAGGGAAGGAATCCGGGAAGAGGAAGCCAACCGATGACAAGAAGCCTCCGTTGGCCAATAACCTGAGTCGGGTTCTCGCTATTAGGAATTCTGTCACGCCCCACGTGTTTTTGCAACTTGTTGTGTCTGAAGGCGATGATGGCATAATCAAGATTATTTCTCCGGAAGAAGATACTTTTCCTTTTCCGCCGTTTTTTTTTCTTTCTGAGATTAACGCCTCGCGGAAATTGCCTGATGCAATTTATTTTGTGCATTTCAACTGAAGAAGAAATGTTTGGATGCTGGCATTTTACACAAAATGCGGGGATCGGTTCATAAGTACGATTATGTCTTTTCTGAGATTTATGCCTCGTGAAAAATGGCTGATGCAATTTATTTTTCGCATTTCAATAGAAGAAAAATGTTTGGATGCTGGAAATTCGCTGCATTTGATACGAAATGCGGGGATCGGTTCATAATTACGTCGTTTCTGAGATTGACGCCTCGCGAAAAATGTCTGTTGCAATTTTTTTTGCGCATTTCAACATGAGAATAAAGAAATGTTTGAATGCAGAAAATTTGCATTTGAAACGAAAAACGGGGATCGATTCATAAGTACGAGTATTTGTTCTCTGAGATTAACGCCTCGTTAATGCTGGAAATCCGCTGCATTTGATGCGAAACGCGGAGATCGATTCATAATTATGTCTTGCTTTCGAATTATTCTGTGAACAAACATGGACCTAATTTTCACAAAACACTAATTGCTCATTTCCTCCGTTCAGTGCCAATTTTTGCTCATCGAGGGTTGAAACGACGCGTAGACAGAGAGTTGACAGTGTACAATACCTCACTGCAAAAGTAAGTTCAGCTAACTGTGCAAGTGCGCCACTTGCACTCAACTATTTCAAAGTGCCAATTTTTGCTCATCGAGGGTTGAAACGACGCGTAGACAGAGAGTTGACAGTGTACAATACCTCACTGCAAAAGTAAGTTCAGCTAACTTTGCAAGTACGCCACTTGCACTCAACTATTTCAAGTGATGGAAATATTTCTTAAATATATTTATTATATCTCGCTACTATACAAAATTGTGTTTCAATCAGAAAACATCCTTTCATTTCGGTCAGTGGTGGTGAAGCATTCACATTTCGAATTGTTGAGCAAGACGTCGTTCATGTCAGGTCTAAATGTGAAAAACAACCCCACAGCGATTCAACAGAGAATCTCATCAAATCTTTTGATTGGTTCCACGGTTGTTTAAATACTGTATTTACAACTGATGAACTTGTGTACTCAAAAAAACTTCGCTTCAGAAACTCCCTGACCACCGGTCGATAACTCTCCACATAACCTTGATAGTTTCTCTTGTTTTTTCATGCCTTTCGAAATCAACCTGGAGAAGAAATCTTCCCGAAATGAGATTGCGCAACAATAATCGGTCAAATTTTGCGGGTTGTCCGAAACATGAATCGTCCTGCACTTCTTGATTTTAATCCTTCCGTTCATCTCTCAGAAATTTGATCGCAGCACTGGAAATGTCGAGGAAGATTACGAAATGATCGACAAAGTCGAATGAATTTTTTTTCCAACATTTAAATGCAGAAAACCCGTAGTTCTTGCGAGATAATCCGACGTCAAGCTGATCGAGAATCGAATCCAATCTCTTTGATCTTTGATCCGGTTTCTCCCACGACGGTTTCATAATATTTTTTTCCAACATTTAAATGCAGAAAACCCGTAGTTCTTGCGAGATAATCCGACGTCAAGCTGATCGAGAATCGAATCCAATCTCTTTGATCTTTGATCCGGTTTCTCCCACGACGGTTTCATAATTCTGGTTCTCTGCGGCGTAGAGTTTGAAGTGACAGAATCACACTTTTTTTTTGCCTTCTTGTCACTTGGAAGTGTTGCCGACGAGCAGACATCAGAGAGGAAGTCACGAAGAGGAAGAAATGGGAAATGGAACAAAATTCGCGTTTTGCTCTTATCTATAGTCTGTGAACGGCTGTAAGTTGGCGTGATAGCACAGTTACTCCCCCAGAAGTGATACCAATGCCTTTTTTATTATTCTATTTATTTTATTATTTATTTATGTGCGAGGAAGAAGGGATGAAAACGAACGATTTTATCCGGCGCGTGTGAATTTGAGACGCGTGGGAAGGAGTCGTGGGCTGGTGAATATGTCCGAAGAACATGTTTCGCCTGAACCTCCTTCGTCACGAGGGAAATCTTTTTTTTTTTAAACATACGGCATACCATGCGAAAAATGCAAAATTATTTTATTATTATTAATAACATTTTTTGTTGGAATTCTACCGGTCGGTTTGACCGCCATCGACGGCGATGTCGTACTGCTTCATCGACGCTATCGAGAAATAATTTTGGCAATGACGATCACGGTTTTTAATAATTATTATTAATAACATTTTTTGTTGGAATTCTACCGGTCGGTTTGACCGCCATCGACGGCGATGTCGTACTGCTTCATCGACGCTATCGAGAAATAATTTTGGCAATGACGATCACGGTTTTTAATCGAGTACAGTGGTTCTCAAATTAGCCTTTCTCGAAATAACCATGCCCAAATTTTGATTCAATGAAAGAAAACGAGGTTCAGTAGAGTATAATAATGTACCTAATTGAGACACTTGTTTACAATTTGATTAGCTGATTTTTGGGGTTAATTTTCTTCGAGGCATTCAAAAATATCAGTTATCGTATCTCAGTTCTGGAAATTTTTGAACATTTTCAAAAGATATGTTTATCGTAATATTTCTGCGTTCTACTGTTCGTGGAAGTTGATTCGATTCGAGCAGCCGGTCATTAGCCTGGATGGTCAGAATTTTAATATAAATTGCACTTTTTTCTTTTAAATAAGCTCTAAAAATCTTGAATGCGTCCCATAAAATTTTGTGGGTAAACTTGCTCGAATTATTATAGGAAACGCTGCGCCGTTGCTTTGTTTATTTGGGTTCTAATGATTATAAATACAGTACTTTCCTCAAGTATATATAGGTAAAGATCTTTCCAAACGTTTAGATTGAACACTCTAATCCACAAGCTATGCTCTAGTCAGACCTTTTATAGGAGAGCAGAGAAAGCTAAAGCAGCACATCGTGGCCATTTCAAATTACGAATGAACCGCAGAGAGTCGTGATGAATTGGCACGAATTTCCAAATTTCGGAGTGAATATCAATATATCATCGATCAATTGTCCGGGATTTTCCGCTAACCTAGTGTGGGGTTCTCTTATTTCAACCATCGGGATTCCGTCGGATATGCTTTTTTTTTACCGAGAGGAAATTTGCTGTCTTTCAACCCGACGTTGATGATGCTTCAATGTCTGGCACTTGGTGTTGGTTCACTTTAAGTAGGTTTCGGTACCACATCTGGATGCTTCGCTGTTTTTTTTTTCTGGTCTTCTTCTTAGCAGTTATTATTTTTGTTTTCAAGGAGCATGCATGTATAACTGCTGTTGATGTAGGCCGAGTAGCTTTCAGGGAAGGACTGAACTCATTGTGTCTCTCGTTTAATGGATTATGCGGCGCCAGATCGGATTCATTTTACTGCCAGATAACACTTTTTCGAAAAACCTCTCCTTTGTTCCACGCGAAAACACGCTTTCAAAATGCATGTTTCTATAGTGTTTATAATCTCGAAACAAAACAAAAAATTTTAGGGAGGGAAAATCGTGGCTTCGGGTGTTTGGGCAAACGCGACGTTTACACTTCTTCTACAAACTCGAATCGAAGACACGTTTACGAGGGTTGGTTCATAAGTTCTGAAACTTTTTGAGATCCAAGAGGAAGGGAATGTTGAAAATTCCAAAAAAAAATTTCTACTCGCATAGCCGCATCATTCGGTAACACTTCGATGCTGTTCAACAGACTCACCGCCAATTTCAATACATTTCTTCATGCGATGAATCCAACAATCAAAACAGTGCCAAAAATCAAGTTCGATTAGTAATACGGTAGTTGAAAAGTTACTCTTCGACAGCGGAAATGAGGCTGTAACTGTCCTCAAAATCAATCCCTTTCAGGTCGTTCTTCATTGTCGGGAACAGCCAGAAATCACAGGATGCCTGACCAAACAACGATGGCAATGTTTTGAACGTTGGATTTATCGCATGAAGAAAATACATTAAAATCGGCTGAGAGAATGTTGAACAGCTCTGAAGTGTTGCCAACTGATGGAGCTACGCGAGTAATAAAAAAAGGGGAATATTGAAACTCGGTATGGATGTACAGTATTTCAAAAAGTCTAAGAACTCATGAACCAACCCTCGTATTTACAGTTTCTCCTTTTATTTCATTGTTTGTTTTTCTTCTTCTTCCCCATGCACCCGGGATCTATCTGTTCCTGCAGAAAGCATCGGAGGAAGCGTATGAAGCCGAACTGGCCGCCTTGGAGACGTCGAGGAGTCAGAAAAGCATTTCGGCGGGTCAGAAGATACGAAAGAAGCTGCGGCGAAACTGGTCACTCACCAAGAGCGACATCAAGGAGGGAATCAACAGAATCCGCAAGAAAAGCACTTCCGCCGGCCCCATTCCGCCGTTCAGTACCTTCTCGTCCACGAGCGAGTTGGACCAAAATCAAGGTTTGTGCCTGGTCATTTCCTCTCCGAAAGTCTTGAGAAAAAGCAACAACAACAAAAAAAATATACACACTACCGGCAGTAATATTTTGTTGTTGTGTTTTTATTGCCCTGTACTGTACTAAAGTGGTAGGGGAACGCAATTACGTGGTGAATAGACTCCTCGTGTTCCTGACGAGATGGAATGCAGCAAAAAACCAAAGTACAGTAACTGAATTCCCGTTTTTACCGCGTTTTATTTCTCTCTGAATGAAAATTTCGCGTCGACCGCGCAATTTTTTCGTTTGCTGCTGATAATAATTTTTCCCATTTGGCGAGATGAGCGCACTTTTTGCGTGATACCTTTTTCTTCAGTGACGTAATGCTGCTTGAAATCAATGCCGAATAAGCTACATTTTGTGTATCATGCATTTTTTTAAATGGTTTAAGCAACTGGAAACACTGAACACGCGTGGGAATAATTTGAAAAGGAATCCTTGACATTACCAAAGCAAATGTCCTCGAATTCGTGTGTGAAATATTAATTTAGGAGGACGTGTGGAAAAATTCAAGACTGAATGAGTCATCGGCAAAAACATTTATTTTTGTAAGATGAAATTAAGCTTTATCCTGAAATTCTACTTTCAAAAAATATTTGCGATGAGAAAACGCATCGGTAATTTCGAGCCTGAATCTTGCTTATTTATAAATCGTTGAGTTTTTTTTTCTATTTTACGGAAATTAGGGAATAAATTTCAAGTGCCAAATCAAAATTTTCTTTCCGAGTTTATATATCGCTCTCTCGGTGGTGAAATTTTCTCGATCGAGTTGAATTCAAAAGTGAATTTAATTCTCCCCGATGGAGTATATTTGTGTACAGTTTCTTTTTATAACTAAATCTAGACCATTTCATTGGAAATCAGTCTCGGGAAATATATTTTGTCAAATTCTTCGTTAACTGCCGAACACGTAAAATTTATCATTTGCTTCAGCCGAAGTAAAGGATAAATCAAGCGTTCAGTTTCATCAGTTTTCGAAATACTGTATTCAGTATAGTTCTTGAAATCGTCGGCTAGAGATCCCTATTTGTTTCCCCGATGAAAGAACAATAATCATTTTTAGACCAACCTGCTATTCGGAGGCAATATCCGCCATAGAAATGTCGGGAATCAAATACAAATATACTGTATTTTAGTTCAAATAAATCAAATAAATATTTAAGTTTGGTGAGACGATTGAAGTTGATCCTGAATGAAATATGAAAATAATGTTTTTTTCAACTGTCGTGAGAAAATCCGAGCGACTTCATTTACGAGGACATGTCGCCGAATATTGTTTTCTTCTGGATATCCTTGAAAGTTTCCTTATGCAGCGCATTTTACAATTTTTAAGGTCACATCATTTCGTTGAGATATCAACTGTTTATATTTTTATTCAAGAGGACGAAGCGATTTCAGAGATATGCAGTATTGGTATTCAGGAGCAGCAGCGATTGAGAGAAAAAAATATTTTCTGAAAAGAAGATTTACAGAAAATCGTTTTCTTTCAGGCATTTTCCGCTTTCGTGTTATATATTTTGGTTTACTCATTTCTACCCTTTTTCCTTTCAAAGTCGTGGCATTTTTGTGAGAAATATACAGCCCAAGAGATTGTGTTCAGACGACGCCAATATTTTCTCTGCTGTCGGCAGCGGATATTTCTCTCAGCAATCAAATGCGTCTCTCGCTGTGTTATTACGCCCTCGCTTCGAACTTTTTTTTTTCAATCTTTCAAACTGTTTGCTGGTTGAATACTGCGAACGTCTCTGTATCCCGAACGGACTTCTTCGCGCAGTGTGTTTTCGCAGTTCGCTGAAACGACATAAAATAAGCTTCTTCTGTGTTACACTACGAATTTCCAGTGCATATGTCATGTTTTTCCACATTTTACGACGGTAATTGAAAACGGAAGTGCGTTCAAGGAAAAAAAATCGTACATGAGAAAGATTCACAGAAAACCTCTGGAAAAAAAGTAAATTCTCTGTCATCGGTTGCTTTTGTATGAATGTTTCCGGAAAGAAAAAGTGTTATACGTACGTTAAATAATGCATTCTCTTCAATTTTTTCAAGTTCAAATGAGAAATAAGTTGAAAAATGTTTCTTTTAAACCCGATTTAGTCATCGGTTTTAAAAGAATGTATCGGTCACCACAAAATATTCCGAGGACCAAAAAAAAAAAAAAGACTGTCATTTTTCTTCCCAAATACATCACATAAACAACAACAAAATCCTAAAATAATCATAAATACGGTCGAATCTCGTAACAACGAAGCATTTGGGACCTTAAAAAATCTTCCTCATACATGAAAATTCGTTAAAACGAAATAATTAGCGGAATCTCGTTGCAAAGAGTTTATTTATTACGAATTAATTTTTACAGAAAATTTATGTTTCCGGGAAGAGAAAGCCTTGCATTAGAATACATTCTCTTCATTGTTTTAAAGTTCGAATGCTACATTTTATAACTTCAGCGTGAAAATCGTGCAGATTCTTTTTGGAATCCTGGTTGATCGGTTTCTGTGGCTGGATTTTTTTCCGGAGAGCATGAAATTATCTCATGCCACATTTACGTCTAGCATGTTATGTATTGAGGGTTTAAACACAAAATTTCTGGACTCGTATTTTTTTGAATATGTGTTGATCGGTGTGAAATCACTTGCGCCTCGAGTGATTCGTTCACCACGATTCTAGTTCCCCTTGGAAAGGATAGAAATATCAGCTTAATTTGAATTATGCTACTTACTTGAATTCATCTTTGTCAGGATGAATTTTCAAAGCTGGTTGTGATTCGAATTCCGACCCGTGTCATTCCTTAAATGCTGGCCTTTTGAATTCTTACAGAGTCACCTGCTAATGGACGAGATGCCCGAGGAGTGAACCGCGTCTCTGCGCCGGTCGGCGTGCCCAAGAAGACTAATTGGTCGCTCAAAAGTCATTTCAAGAAGAAATCCATGTCGGCGACGAGTCTCAAGAATGGCACCTCTGATCGGAAGGAGACATCCATGTTTTACCTCACCTTATCCATCAAATCCGATGACAAGGAAGAAAGCAACTTGGCGACCACAAACGCAACAGCGAGGGCGTCTTGTCCGAGTCTGCCTGAAAATGTGGAACCCCCACGAAGGAGGTGATTCATTAACAACCATTCAGGCAAAACATTTTCATGGAATATGCGGCTGAAGATTTTATATGCATCTAAATCGACACATTTAGATACAGATGACTAAAATGTTTTTTTTTTCTGATTACCCAAGAATAAATGAGTTTTCGGTGGACTCGGAAGAAATACTCGAGCAATAACATAATTCATTATTCACAGGAAAGCAGCAATATTGCAAACGCTTCAATATAATCACACAGAAAATTTGCTGCGTAGAGAACGTAGCTGTTGACAAAATCAGAGAGCCCATCTTTATTTAAACAAAGAAAAGAGACCAAGTATACATTTTCAGACACACTTCTTGTCATTTACACCTTAGTTTAAAAATAAATGCTGATACTGTTCCTCATGAAAATTACCACTTTTGCTACCCCTCAGGCATTTAGTGATTTTTCGGATCAATGATTAAAATTTCAACAATTGACATTTTTTCAGTTTTACCTATAAACGGCGGAAGTGCAATTTCAGGAAACCTTTGTCGGTCTTAATTTTACGAGGAAAGCGGGGTTTTCATTCTGCTCTTGGTTCAGCGGGTTTATTTTCAAATTCCATTCTTGAACGGTTTCCCGGGGTTTTAAGCGACTCATTTTCTTTTCATGAGAAACTGCGGTTTTTTTTCTTGCTATGAGCAAATCAGTGAGTTTGACTTCTGCTTCCGGCTGCGATTTGAGCATGCATGAGGCAATTGTCGCATAAGGCTCGGATATCTTGGCAGCATATGGCAGGAAATTGGTTACTGAGGATGATCCTTGGGCTTTTCCGGAATATTTCAACAAAAATGCTTTGCTCAGTCGAAGAACATTAAAAAAATATATATTTGCTATAGATTTTCTAACGGTGCTGAAGTATTTTGCTCGCTTTCACACCTTTTCGTTTACTAGAATAATGTATTTAAGGGCATAATTGCGATCGCTACGTGGAAGTTAGTGCTAATTTCATCTGGGTTCTGCATGCACGACTTTTTGTGCACATATCTGCTTTGAAAATAATTTTTCAGTGTTGCCTTTCGGCACAGTTTCGGTTTAATGGCTGCTCATATATTGCTGTAATATTTCTAGCCACCTTCGCTTCCTGAGTTGGTGACTCGAAATTTTTTGGAGCAGCAGACGAATATTGTATACAGTAGATTACAATGAAACCTGTCTAATACTGCACGGTACAGTAGATTACACGTGCAGTATTATAATTCTTTGATCGACTTGGGTTTATTTTTGTGGAAGGTCTCTTTAAGGAAATGTTGAAAGGATTGAATGTTTCAGGTCGAAAAAACTTCAGATAAGCGATGATGGGATCGAGTTCGAGAGAATTGAAAGAAAGAAATTTAATATCCAGTGGGAGATCCACTCGGAAATGACGGAATATTTTCGGGATAAAGAAATCAATTTTTTCAAAATTCATTTTCTATTCAGTGTCTAAATGCAGACATACAGTACTTGTACAGCAATACCGTAGAAAATCTTCGTTATGAATGAAACTTCGTTGGAACGAAATTTAAATAGCACTGTATATCTATTGGGCAGCGGAAAAAAAAACAAATTTGTTGTAAGTAATAATTCTTCATGAAAAAAGCTCTTTGTTGAGAGATTTTGCTATTAATTTCGCTCTGACGCATTTTAATTTATAAGGGAGCTTTGTTGAGATGCCGAATGCTTCGTTGTAACGAGATCCGACCACATTTATAATTATTTTAGGAGTTATTCGTGGATTAAGTGATTTATTTCGGAAGAAACATGGATTTTTTTTTTTTGGCCTTCGGAATATTTTTCGGTGACTATTGATATATTGATATTTGTCTGGAAAATTTAAAGGCGATCCGATGCGGATTCGGAGAGTGCTCGGTCGAACTCCAGCGGGGCCAACGACACCGGCATCTACAGGATCCAGAGCCCATCCGGTGACAGCAATTCCTCGTCGTCGTGTTACGGAAGTTCCGGCGGAAGCAATGCCTCCGTCGGAATGCCGAGGCCTCATTCAAAATCCCGTCCGACGAACCGATTGTCGAGCCAGTCAATCGCGAGGCCGAAGATTGCTCCTCCTGATCCACCCACTGGTAAATTAGATTGAATGAATCAAGGATAATGATTGATTGGATGCATTATGAATTGAAGATACTGTAGCTTGTTATATCATTAACCAACCATATACGGAGGGTTCAACAGGTTTTTTTTTTTTATTTAAATTTAGATTTTCGGGTGCCTGAGCTTTTGAGTCTCATCAGTCCTCGAAAGTTCATCACGGTAATATTATGATTGAAAGAAGTACTATGTAGGGCTGTACTTCAGACAAGTCTCTCTGTTAATTTGTCAAGAAATTATTTGTATCACAACGTTGAATTCGGGAAATTCTCACTCATCAGTTTGGCAGATCTTGCCTCAACATTTCTTTTCAGCATGACCAACGCAGACTTTGGCGCAGATCAGGAAATATTTCCTTTTATTTTAATCGTTACGGTACTTGTACATGGTTTTCAGATCTGAGACATTTTCGTTGAGAATAAATTACGAATATTCTGCTTATAGACTAATCTGTGGATTCTATGCTTCCTGAAAAAATCATGTGTAGCAGCAAGTCAATTTTATTTGCTTGGAGGTGCATTTTCGAAACTTTAATATTTGGGAAAAAAATGCATGTGCAGGAGTTCAGTTTTATTTCTTTGTAGTAATGGGTGCATGTCATAAAAGTGGGCTTCTTTGCATTTCAAGCTGAGTGAGGACAAATTTCATTACTGGTCAAGGAATAATTGAATATTGAGCCGTGCAAATTTTGTCGGTCTGAATTCATCACCAAGCCTCCGAATATGAATACCACTAGACTGGCAAACTAATGAGTCCACCCATCTGTAATAAATTTATTAATTTATTTTCCCTGCAACGAAATTAATATAAACTACTTTCCCTGGAGGATTTTAGCACGATTACTTTTCGCAATCGTAATGAGAATTTTCAAAAAACGACGTGCGTTGAAAAACTAGTGATGAGAAAAACACGGCAATCATATGCTTTTGGAGGTACTGTATCGTTTTCTTTGTTGGCTTCATGAATTTTGGAGTGGTACTGGAACGTATTATGATTTAACGTATTTTTTATGCTTCTTTTTTAGCCCGTGGAGGTCTGAGAAAGTTCTGGAATGAGTAATTATTTTAGCTAATGAAGGATTTGTGCTCTCCCGAGTCCCGACGGAATTACAAAACGCCTTGGACGGGTGAAAAATAGTTGCCCAGCATGACGTGATCTGTTCAGCACAATAGACCTTGCGTTACGACTTCAGTCGCCGCCCCGTTGAAAAAGCACTTTCTTGCGCTCCCCGTGGGAAGTTCTTTGCATATAATTGCTTTTTTTCCTTCAACGTTTCTTTTGTAATTTTTGCTGGTCCCACCCCACGAAAATAAGTATATATTCTCGTTCGTGCGGTTTTGTGCTGCATTTTTAAACTGTGCTTCTAATCCTTCATCTGTTCTCGTTGCTGCACAACGGCAGCAGTTATTTCTCGTCTCAGACCTTCTCCGGTTTTGTTAGAAAGAGAGACTCCCTTTTGCCGGCGACGATTCATCATGGAAAAATTTTTTTATGAATCTCTAGATGTCGCTGTAAGAAAACAATCGTTCGACAAATCTTCTCTGAACCGGGAATGCTCACACCACGCTGAATTATAATAAGTGAAAGAGGGCGGTGTACAAAGTAATTTTCTAAAAAAGGTATGCCTTATGTGTCATGAAGCTACTCAATAAGAATGTACCTCGTCATTACGCAGTACGGTTACTTGAGCGAAAAGCTCAAAAGCGTAAATCTTCAACTCGTCTCAATTTAACACCCAATATCCCTGCATGGAATGAGCAAAAGGCGTCGCATCAATCGCTTGATGACCACAAAAAATAGCCGAATCGAATCAATGCTATCCTCCCTTGACCTGATTTCTCTCAACCAAATATAAAAATGCCGAAAATGTACCTCCAAAATGAAAAATCCTATATAGAGAATACTGCGTATGGAATCGAAGTTCAGGCAATTTCTCTACCGGGACTGCGTACATATAAAGTCGCCGAATTGAAGACATTCGGAATTTTAGTGAAAAAATTCCATCGAATAAACACAAAAACTGCTTGATTTCGTGCTGTTATAAGCTTCTTTTATATTGAATTTCTGTGTATATGTGTGTAAGTAACCGTCGGCTAGTCAGTTTTATGTGTAGATCGCTGACCAAAATCCAGTCAATTTTAGTCACATTGACGAGTTATACTAAATCTGGCAGAGGTAGTCTTACTTAAAGAGGATTTTCTTCTTAATTCATCAGTGCATTTATCATGAAAGTCTATTTCGAATTTTTTTATAACTGAAATTTGAATTGAATATTTTTACAGGAGCTTCACCTCGGCGGTCAGTGGAGAACAGCTGGTCAGCCGAGTCATCCGGCGGCGGATCCACTCGAGAATTGATCAGCGTCCGGAAATCCCCGTCGCCCAGCGCGTCGGAAAACGTGGACCAGCAAAAGGCGCCCTTGTCGGAGACCAAACGGCGGTTTTCCTCGACAGAATCCGAGCATTCTCCCGCCACATGTTTCATTAAAAGATTTTTTCCATACGGAATACACAGTACTTCGATGAGTTATTCTTACATGGAGCAGTAATGCGTCATGCCAATGAACTCGCTTTTCGAGTTTTCGCATTTATACTTCAACTCGTCTCAATTTAACACCCAATATCCCTGCATGGAATGATCAAAAGGCGTCGCATCAATCGCTTGATGACCACAAAAAATAGCCGAATCGAATCAATGCTATCCTCACTTGACCTGATTTCTCTCAACCAAATATAAAGATGCCGAAAATGTACCTCCAAAATGAAAAATCCTATATACAGAATACTGCGTATGGAATCGAAGTTCAGGCAATTTCTCTACCGGGACTGCGTGCGTATAAAGTCGCCGAATTGAAGACATTCGGAATTTTAGTGAAAAAATTCCATCGAATAAACCAAAAAACTGCTTGATTTCGTGCTGTTATACGCTTCTTTTATATTAAATTTCGGTGTATATGTGTGTAAGTAACCATCGGCTAGTCAGTTTTATGTGTAGATCGCTGACCAAAATCCAGTCAATTTTAGTCACATTGACGAGTTATACTAAATCTGGCAGAGGTAGTTTTACATAAAGAGGATTTTCTTATTCTTTATTCATCAGTGCACCTATCATGAAAGTCTATTTCGAATTTTTTTCTAAACTAAAATTTGAATTGAATATTCTTACAGGAGCTTCACCTCGGCGGTCAGTGGAGAACAGCTGGTCAGCCGAGTCATCCGGTGGCGGATCCACTCGAGAATTGATCAGCGTCCGGAAATCCCCGTCGCCCAGCGCGTCGGAAAACGTGGACCAGCAAAAGGCGCCCTTGTCGGAGACCAAACGGCGGTTTTCCTCGACAGAATCCGAGCCACAGTCCCAACACGATCGCCGACTCTCCTTCGTCGGCAGCCACCCGTGCCATAGATACAGCGCCGACGATGCGACGACGCAACCGCCGCTGTCCTCAGTGTCGTCCGTGTCGTCGGCGTCTCTCGTAGCCGCCGCGAATCGGAAAATGCAAAACAAGGAGGGTTCGAGACACGGGCCGACGCAGCGTCCTCCGCCGCCGCCGTTTGGTGTTCGCTTCGTGGACCCGCCGCCGCAGCCGCCGCCGTCGCCTGTCAAATACGACAGACCGCCGCCTTTTGCGAATCGTAATGAAGTTTCTAGCGAACCGCCGCCCCTGCCTCCGGTGCCACCAACGCTTCGAGGGCGTCCTGTAGTCAAGAAGCCGCCGACTGCCCCGGCGCCTGTTCCTCAGAAGACGCGTGGATTTAAACAGCAGGATGTCGTAGAAGATAGTCATTACATGAGTCCGACTGGAATCTTCGCTGGTTTTGAGGAAGACTCGTACGTCAGTGCGCAGTTGGCGGACGAACCGCTTTATCAGTTCTACACCGCTACAGTTCATGAAGTAAGTCTTTTTGACATTTTCATCTTCACAGCTCTGAACGAAAATGCAGTGGGTTCGCGAGATGTGGACGTGATTGGCGCTTGGACTTGGTCCTTATGTCGAAACGTCCTTATGTCGGATAACGTTTTCCCTCAGAATTCAATGGGAATATATTCAATTGACTCTGCTGCCTGCTAGTCAAAATATGGGAAAAAGCCCCCCTCTCCCCGGCCAAAAATGTAATACAGTAAAATATTTTTTTCAAGTTTCGAAATGCAGAAAATAACTGTGCATAAGAAAACCACTCATAATTTGATCTTTCTGCATAATCTGATTTACTGAGCGTAAAATTAGCCTGTTTTGGATTATAAATGATGGTGAATTATAAAAGCTTCATTTTTTTACATTTCTGACGATAAAAAGCCAAACTTTTTCAAGAGATATCGAATATATAGGAATGAAAATTTGTCGATTTGTCTAGAAATGTTGGTAAAGGGTATGTTAGTATCTCGAGACATTGTCCACATGTATGAGCAGATTTTTTGATTCTGTGAAGATGAAGGTAAAAGTTTGTTCAAGCAATACAATGGAACAAGAATGTTCATACTCCAGTGAAAAATCTGCATCAAAAATGCCGAAATCACCCCGCGTATTCATGACGACCGTAAATAAATCACGTCTACCGTTCAAATGGCTTGTTTCATGGCTGATAAAAAACTCAACGTTCAAAAAGTTTTAGTTTTGAATTCTTTCCCCTCCCCGAAAAAATTGATTTGGACTTTCTAGGTCATACTTTATGTATCATATTCACATGGAAGGACAATATTCACGAAGTAGACTTTGTGGGTTTAGGAGAATTTTGGTTGCACTGATTGAGAAAATTAATTTTATAATTTTTTTAGAGTTGAACAGATAAAAAATTGTAAATATCTAATACAGTATATCAGTAGAAAGATCAGTTTTCCTTCAACGATGTATATTTCTCCATAAACGGAAAAAATAACTCCTTTTTAAGTTTATTTCCAAGTTTCTTATATTCCAGGAAAGGGGTCAAGGTGGGTTTTTAGGGCTATTTTTATATTTAAAATTGTGCCCGAAAAGATTGCCAGGACTTATTGTGGAATTTTATGTTGAGGGAAACGCGTTGTACGTTTTTCTGGATGAATTGTGGGCCCATAAAGCTTTCTTCGACAGTTTCGCACCATAAGGATGGTATTTTGCTATAAAAAAAGTGATTTTCAGTAAATATAAGATCTAGCGACACGAAAGGTTTGTCTGGAAACATCGTTTTCCTGATTTATGACTGTCAGTGAAGTGCGTACGTCTCGAAGTTTCTCATGTACCTCGAATATGGCCGATTATTTTAAAACTCTCGGCAGAAACACGACCAGTTCTTCTTCTATTCTCCTTGAGCAATTATTTCATTGACTTTCTGAGAATTTTTTTTTCGATTTACAAATAATGTCTCACAGCGGACAATCTGATAACGTTCACAAAATTAATACTGCATACTTGTATCTAATCGTTGGAAAGGTAAAACCAGGAAAGTTTCCAGCAATAACGTTCAAGCATCCTCATCAAAGTATTATTGACGATGTGTGTTCTCATTTCTGGGCAAATTCGTAAAAAAAAATCAGGATTCTTCGCGTTATTCGTCCTTCTGTGCGATGTGTGGTTTTCTAAAAATTATCTTGTGCTCATCACAAGAGAAGCAAATTAAGAGACGCAGAAGTTGTTGGCGGTCACTGTCGTGCCAGGTGGTGAAATAGCATGTGCACGATGTAGCACGAATGAACGAGTACCTGAAAGGGACCGTTGCACCAGAACGACGTGGTCTTCTTTGGTGGAATGCTGGAATATTTCACTTGACAGATTTAAAAAAAAAGAACACGATAGAATAGTACTAGGTCTAGGATTAACTGCGCTTTGATTGTTCATCGACTAGAAACCCGTGTTCAAATTTCAATCTTTTTTTTTCTTTCTTGCGTAGGACTTCAAACGCTCTGTAGGGCTCAACAGAGTACCAAGAAACCACGAATTTATTCGTTTTTAAATACAGTATCGTTTCTGTAGAATTAAGCGAATCGTGGCTCGTGAATATTTTTTCGAGGTCGATTCCCTTCTGTGTGATTCTGGGTATATTTTCAGTGAGCGTGTTGAGAAAAATTCACGCCAGTGCATTCCGTGAAGTTTTTTTCTGGTTAAACACACGCAAGAATCGTAAAATATAAGCAAAAAAAAAAAAACTCACATTATTTTCCCGTGAGAATTTTTTGTGAAAAATCTACCTTTTATGGGGTAAATAATTCGATTGCAGTGCTAAGGACGTGTTGCTTCATTCGGGAATCGTAGTTCAACCACCATATCCCACAAAAACTTTTGACTTTCTCTGCGACTAGACTACTCGGAATATCCAACAAAAAAATGAGTTTTTCTTGCAATGCTACAGTATCGATATTGTGAGAATATTATTGTAAAGGTGCTGGTTTTGTTGCGTAGTACGTGTATCAGTATAGTCATGGACGACCAGTCTAGAATTAGATCAGTGTTTCCCAACCCGTGGTCCGCGAATCGGCGCCAGTTGGCAGAAGTATTTTTCCGGTCTGCGGGAAATTTTTCAGCATAATAAATTTACCATAAATATTAATGAAGTCTTTTATTTTTATGCAAAATTTTGGAAAGACCATGGCAGTTGAAATTATCTGATGAAAAGTAAAAGTTGGCTTTTCTTCTAATAGCAAGTCAGACAAATTTTCACCTGCTGGAATAAATTATTTCAATTTTTTTAATTCTGAGAAACCTTTCTTCAAACTCACCTTTATAATTTTTGATGACATTCAGCTACAGCTGCTTCATTACTGGTGCTTAACTTAATTTTTATAAACTTTTTAATGCCTGCCATGGTCTCTTGAGCAAAACGTTTTTGAGTCCGGAAAAATTTTATAAAACTTTTCCCTTCCAGGTAAATTTTTTTGGACTTCCCCAGTGTGCGGAAAATTTTATGGAAATTTTCCGGTCCGCAGGCCCAAGAAGGTTGGAAAACTACTGGTCAAGATCAGTGAACATTCGTTTCATGGAGATCGTCATTTTTCGCTCTAAAATATTTGTGACGAGTCCAACTATTGTTAAATGCTGGCTGTAGTCGAATTTGCGCCCAAGACTTCAGCGTTGAATGGATGACCTTTTTTTTTCGTAGTACGTCCAACTGACTATTAAATTCGTTGAAACATTTGAAACAATTAATCTCGTGGAACCGAGGCTGAACCGAGAGTGTGAGTCAACGAATAACGTCAGCAGAGCTTGATAAAAAATAATCTTGGGATACGTACGTGCTTGCTTTGCACTCATCCAGCAGAGTTCAACCAAAAAAATATAAACTCATCCCATGGTTAAGCTTCGTTTTAATAATGACAGCCTTTGACGTTTCTCATGGCAGGGAAGCAATTTCGTTTCATCAACTTAGTCTTCACCGCGGCGTAGGTTTTAGTTTTCCATTCTACGCCGGCGGGAAGGTCACACATTCGTTCGACTATTTTCAAATCTGTGAGAAAGCAGCGCGGTCTCGAAAAAAAAATATAATTACAGTCCTATACCTTTATAGAATGCTGTATCCTATTTCCGGTCTGTTTTTTTTTCTGTTTTTCAAAAATCCCATCCCCTTCAGAGTGTTGATTGAAGCGATTCGAGTCCGCGACGAAGCCCGAACAGTAAACGTTATGGCGATGCAGTCACGCTGGTCGCTGTCAGTCGCACGATAGTGAAGTGGGCAGAAAGAACGTTTTACCCCTTCAGAGTGTTGATTGAAGCGATTCGAGTCCGCGACGAAGCCCGAACAGTAAACGTTATGGCGATGCAGTCACGCTGGTCGCTGTCAGTCGCACGATAGTGAAGTGGGCAGAAAGAACGTTTTCGAAAAAGATTCGGAAATCTGTTTTTGATGGGATCTCACGATTTCATCGGAAGTGTCTTTCGCGCTTTCCTTCCTACGGAAAAACAGTTGAAAAGTCGTGTAAAACTTCTCCAGAAATTTCATAAAACCAAGTGGACTCTCTCTCTACAACGCAAGTCAAGGGACCCGGAAAACAATTCTTTGTAGAGAGAATTTCGTTGCAGAGAACCCTATAACATGACGAGAGAACCCTACGGAACCACAGACATTCTTTGTATTGTGAAAATTGTTGTAGAGAGAGAGTCTACCTGCACCAGATATTTGAAGCTTGAGTTTCAGTCGAAAATTCAAAGAAAAATATGAGGAGATGGATCGTTGATTACAATTGGGTTTCATTTTACTTGTAAAAGCTCTCAGGGATGTGTTCAACTTTTGTCTAATCGAAAAAAAAAAATACTGTATATCAATACTGCAGCCTGTAAAGATAATGTTGCGGGAATTTTATGAATTCTGCGTTTCATGCTGATACTATACAAGTGATCGGAATTGGTTTATGTTTATCGGATTTTCCCACGAACGAGAAAGGGAAATGAATTCTTCTGCTCGGATTATTTGTGAACTTTCGAGCAAAAAATGAAGAGTTTCTGCCGAGAGCCGAAAAAGTACCGTTTCATTTTGAGTAACTTCCAGTTCGGTTCAGTTTTGTTCCGTTTGAAATTCAACAGTTCCTTCGCGATTAAAATGTCGATTGGACAAGGTTTTTCTGAGATAAAACTCCCTATTTTTTTCTTCTCCTTTATGGCGTCAGTCGCTCGATAAAATAAAACAGCTGCGCTGTTTTATTTTGAATAGATTCGTGATCGAAACTGCTTTAAAAATAAAAAAGGGACGTTATTTTGTGTGAGTTGATGGAAGAGTTCTCCTTTTCCATCGGCACGCTTATAACTACGCACGATGAGCCGCGCTATTTACGAACGTAGCACGCTGACAGCAAATAATGTTCGCTGCTGCCCTCAAACTGGGTCTTAGTCTAAGACCGCTACTAAGGAACGTTGTCTTAATGTGCCAGGATACTGATGATTCAGTGGAAGTTGTTGTAAGTACAATATTTAAAAGATAACCAGATGTTTTTTTTTTCATCACCGCGGAAATGATGGACGGTAGTACTCAGAGATTGAACTCCCGGTATTTTTTTCGAAAAGATCGTTTGCTCATGAGACCTCGAAATATTTTTGCTTTATTTTTGTAATATAGCGTGACGACTTGCAGGTTTCGGTCCACTTTTTTTTTATTACCGCGAATTGATTTTAGGAGCTTTTTTCGTAACATTAATTCATATTATTTTTGACGCTATCTTGATTATATGAGCATCGTCAATGTACTTCGGGTTTTTTTTTAAATTTAAAACTGTGAATTACCATAGAATGTATCTAAAGAATTGTAAGGCAAAATATGTGCAGCCGAATCTTCCAAACCTGTAAACTTGCATTCGGAAATGTCTCTATTCCAAATCTAGAAAAGTTGTAGAAAAAAAGTTCGTTGATTCAAGATTTGGGATTGGGAAATTGTTCATCGCTTTTGTTAGGCCTAGCATTCCAGCTTGACTATAAAAGTCAAATATAATCATGCCAAACCGTTGAAAATATTTTTATTTTCTCAATGCATTTTTAGAGTTTTCAGCGTTGCACAATTTTTGAACTTTTGTTGCGATGTTTCAAAAATCGCAATGGCAAGAAATCCCTCATCGTTTTCAAAAGTTCCTGCGTCTATTTGGAAATTCTTTGTTCTCCGCAACGATTGTTTTTCATGATGATATCGAAAATTATGGACGGAATTCTGCTGACCAAATACTTGAATTCGTTTTACGTTTTTTATGGAACCGTGTTTGTGACGAACTTTTCACGATTTCGGAAGCTATTGGGCCGAGCTTCGGCGAAGAAAAAGTTATCATACGGAATTTTTTTTTTAATCTCTGATGTTATCGAAAATTATTGACCGATTGCCCATAACGCCAGCTGAGTTTATTATTTTTGAAATTTGTATCTCAACGTTTCTTCATCATTTTCCCCCCATTCAGCGTGCGACTCAATACCAAGGTCAGACTTCTTGCGGGGAAGACGACTACGAGGTGATCGACGAAGATGACGACTTGGAACCCTATGTCCCGAAGT